TTTCATGTGAGTACCATTGTTAGCAGATCACTTCAATATTATAATTTGTGTCTAGTCATTGAATGATCTTGTTTTATATTTTTATGTATGGTATATCGAAATATTTTTCTAATTTTCGATAAGAACATATTTGTGATTTGTAACCTGGCAATCCCTCTGTTTATCATTCCATACTCTTGCAAGTTTGAGAGATAATGTGTCTCTCATGATATGGCCGTTTATCAATTTTCTCAAATTTCGAAAATGTGCACGTTAATCGGTACCTGTTCTGCAATCATTTTATTTAGCTATTGATATCTGCTATGAGAATACAATAATATTCGATTGCAAACTCTCTCACTAAAATGATTGATGATAAAAACCACGATACCTTGTCTAAAACATGGCGTATACTTTATGATAATGATTCACTGTCTCTTTTCAAAGTCCTTGCTTTTGCAATTTGCTAATACAACAAATCCACACTCTACTCCTATTCCGACCACCTTTTTAAATAAAATGGTTTCTGTTAGCGGTGCATCGCCTGTCGTAGTGATATAAGAAAATGGGAAAGTATTTGGGGAAAACCAAGTATTGTAGCTCCCTCGCTACAACAAACAATCGTCGTGATTTATGAATAAGATTTATTTTCATTTTACATACTTTCTGTACATATTTAATAATAGACCATATTGATTACATCTCTTTTATTCATAAATTGTCTCTTAACATCGCCAATAAAGAAACAAATTCAGCACAATGTAATAGAAATGTATATCTTGTTTAAGAAAATCAAGTCATGTTTATACATTTCCTCCAATTACCAAATTATGCAGGTCAACTAGTGATTGATCTGTCATTTTTAATATTTTGTTTATCTATTAATATCTTCGTGACAATCAAAATGAGAAAAAATATATCTATGTGGATTATATTTGACGTCATAATTCAGATATTAGTTTCGTGATTTGAAAATTCTGGTATCTGTAAAACAAGAATAATCGTAAAAATGCTTTGATATTCGGCATTTTCACATTGCGCACTGTCCAGAGAGGTTCGTCCGTTTAGTCCATTATGTGAGTACAATTCTTAGCAGATCATGTTAATATCATAATTTGTGCCTGGTCAATGAATGATCTTGTTTTATATAGCTATTTCGAAATATTTTTTTTTTCCAATTTTCGAGAGGGAATTATTTATGGTTCATAACTCGGAAATCCGTCTTTTTACCAGGTCATAGTGTTGCAAGTTTGAATGATAATGTATCTCTTATTGAATGGCCAAAGATATTCCAATGTATATAACATTGGTGGTTATTTATATGTTTAGATATAAATTGTCATTATAATATATATGCTGTTTTTTTATTTGTTATTTATCGTACTATTCAGTAGACAAACGTGTTGAACAAGTACCACATGAGGCATGGTACTTTTCAGGGTGCTTTGTTGTAAAATAAATACTAAATATTTGTTTCTGTTCCTACTACGGTATTTTTTATTTAATTCAAGATTTTTTTTATGTTTGGTGTCTCTAAAAAAATCCCACGCAAAGCTAATTGAAAATGGACACATAACATGTGTAATCACTAGCTTTTGCAATAGAATGATGTACATGAATCCAACATCTACCCCTATCGGTCCCACTTTCTACAAACATCATGGTTTTACATGTTCAGGGGCATGAAGAATGCAACGTTGTTAAAGAAGTCAGAGGAAAAACAAAACACATGGCCATCACTCTCTAAACGAAACCTCAACTGACAATCAAAAATAAGAACTAGAGTCAATACACACATGTTATAAAGTAAACAAGTGTGCGTGTTCATAGATTCATTATAAATCAGTTGTTTCATATTCCTTTCTCAACATCCCCAACAATGGTTACTTCTCTACCGTGTAGTCAACGTTTATATCAAGTTTAAACAATGAAATCATATTTATTCAATTTTCTCCAATATCCGAAGTGTGCAGAT